CTTTGCCATGCATTTGTGTAGTTGGTGTACTAGGGTTGTTTAATTTGAGGTATATATTGGTAACAAGTCATTTACAAGTTCGAAGCACGAAGCAAATGTAATAGCTCTGAGAAAATAACAGGAACTTTTTGAAGGTTTTGTGTCGATGCACTATTTATAAACCAGATAATTATATATCTACCGATTTATTTCTATCTCCAGCAGGGAGAAGTTGAACCTTTGAATGGAAAAATAGGGTTTCTTTTTATATTTGGTAACGGGGGGCGCTGTGCGCAGATGCTTGGTCCAAGACTTTTAATTTACTAGAGACTGAAACATATTGTTATTAAAATCGATAAACGCCAAAGACCACTATCGTTCACGACAATATACTTTTAAAATAGCTAAAGTGTCTTAATTCCACAAACACTTGTCTTGCCTGTGACATGACAGATATACATTGACTTAGCAGTTAAAATTTTAGTGAGGAAATAAATGTATTAATTTAAACATTTATCCTGATTTGCTACAGATTTTTTTTTAAACGAATCATAGGAGTCAGGTCTTTTCACTGATTCTGAACAACTCTCGAAACGAGAACCTGTGGCGAAAAGTTACAACGTACTCGAAATACATCTACAGCTTGGTTTTATTACAGTTTTATAAACACACATACGAAACCGATTTTAAAAAATCGAAAAGAAAAACCTGAGTATGTAAAATATCACGCAGGGAATCGTTTAAAAAATAGTTCTCCGAAACAAACGGTTCGAAAGAATCGACTCGGAAATGAATCAGACCATCAATAGAAAATGTATATTTCCATCAATAATGAGGTTGTGAACGTCAAGATAGGCAAACTTCCTATGCTTCGCCGTTTTTACTATAATTTACTATGAAACATATTTGGAATCAATTATTTGTATTATTATTTTTGTACAATTATTTACCGTTATTTTTCAATTCAATTTTAAATAATTATTTTAAAAAAAATTCAGCTCTTATGTATGTACTTCTGCATCAATTAAAAAGATGCTCTGCCCCCTTTGGTCAGTATTTCACGCTCACGGCATTGCAATCAATGTATTCAGATCCAGCTCCCGCTAGGCTAGATAGAAGAAAGCTTGCACGAACAATCGCTTTTTGTTGGGGGTGTAATGTTAACAAACCAATAGCTCGTGGTCAAGGCCCGTTACAATCCAATCCCCGTTCCATAAGGGAGCCGGTGGGTGTGACCGGAGGGCGACGGAGAGGCGGGCGCAACAGAGTGCGATGCGGAGTTCGGTTGAGGAGTTCAGAGAAGAGAAGCAGGTCTGCGGACGGACGGTGGCATCAGTGCAAAGGGGCGAAGCGAGGGACTATTTGGCCGACTTTCAAAAGAACTGGATTATAAAAACCGGACGCGCTGGATAGCAACTCATTCATCTCTTCGTGCACGTAGGTCTCATCGCTGACAGCCCGTGGTAAGTTCATGCGTCTTTTCATTTTGGCCTGTTTTTTTCACGTTACCGTGTAACGGATTATTTTTCGCAGTACTTTTCAAGCGGCGGGGAGAGCTCGCGCGCTAGCCCACGTTAGCGAGTTTGTTATTGCGGTTCCTTTAAGCAGATAAATAAATTTCCAAATTTTACAACCCATTGCCTGTGGGCAGCCCTGAGCACCATATGTCGGCTAATGCACTTATAAAACGTTTGTCCGCCTCGCCACAGGCCGTCTAACGGGAGATGGTGATGAGGAGGAGGCGCGAGGAATGAGCACGCACTAGGCGGCCGCGGAAACTTCAGCTCGTGCAGGAGACAATGTTATCTCAGTTAACGGTCATCTCGTCGCTTTGTTTGTATACATACTAATGTGGCATATTTGTCGCTAATTTCAAATTAATTGCGAGACAGTGACCGTTAGGAAGGTGTTTTTTAGGGGGGTTATCATTGAATGAATTTTTGAAGGACTGTCCGGCCCTGGAGCCCCACATCAGTTTACCGGGGATTCATCACGCGTATAATGGCTCTCGTCTGTGAAATATCAGTCATGACCCACTTTTTTTGCCCTGCTTGCCTTATTTTAACCTTATTTTTTTTCTTGTGAAAATTACAGTAACTCTTAGGCCAGTTGTAGGCCAGAGTAGACCGAGACCGTCTGGCTCTTGCTTCTATTGGGTTGTTTGTTTATTAATGCGACTGTGGATGTGATCCATATTAAACTTACATTAACTAGTAGGTGTAAACCGATTCAGACAATGTTTTACATGCAGCTGTATCATGAAAATATGAACTTGGTTCAGCTGTATGTTCCAAAAATCAGTATTTGATGAATATTCATCAATTAACAGCGTGCTAGTTAGATAAATCCACACATTTTAAATCCATTCAGTAGTTTAATGTTTTTGTATCTTATGAATGTATGCATGACAAAACTACTACAGCTGTTGTATTATTATGATAAGGACTGGTTTAAAATGCTGACCATATAATATAGATTATGGGAATGCTGCGAATTGAACATTCTCTGCTATTTCCATGTAAAACCAATGAAATATTTTACCTTCATACTCCTATGCCACGGCTGTGTCATCACATAAATTCGAAGACGATCTCTGCTCTTCCATCACTAACCATCCTTTAACTCTTTTTCCAGGTGGCCTATTTAGTTCCTCATGCCGGAGATGGCGCAGCGGAGCGGGCAAGAGGACCCTGAGCGGTACCTCTTTGTGGATCGGGCCATGGTCTACAACCCTGCTTCTCAGGCAGACTGGACGGCCAAGAAGCTGGTGTGGGTTCCTTCCGAACGGCATGGGTTTGAGGCGGCCAGCATCCGCGAGGAACGTGGAGAGGAGGTGCTCGTTGAACTGGCTGAAAATGGCAAGAAGGCCCTGGTGAACAAAGATGACATCCAGAAGATGAACCCGCCCAAGTTCAGCAAAGTGGAGGATATGGCAGAACTCACCTGCCTGAATGAAGCGTCTGTTTTACACAACCTGAAAGATCGCTACTACTCTGGGCTCATATACGTAAGTGTGATGATGATAATACATTTGCTTTCAAGTTGAATACTTTTTCTACCTTGGTTTTTGCAGGTGTGTGTAGGGAGTAGGGCTGCAACTAATGATTATTTTGATAATTGATTATTCTGATGATGTTCCTTGTTTAATCAGAAAGTCAACTTTTTCTGTATTTATATACATATAATTATGTATTATAACTTCAAATCCTGCCTAATGAGGTTCTCTAAGCAATGTACAAATATAAGGTTATGAAAACAAATATAGTGAATGTATTCAGCTATATGCTTACAAGTATGTTTGAAGCACATAATGTAAAGCACTGTGATAAATTAGTTTATGCACTTTTCCCATAGCAATTATATTGTCTTCTATTAGGCTTCAGATGCGTTTTGTCCATAGAAATGTTATTCACTACCATAAAATGTGGTGAATTTTTCTTGTGCACATACGCATATTAATCGATAATCAAATTCATTGTTGCTTATTGTAATTATCGATTTTATTGATTAGCTGTGGCAACCCTTGTAGGGAGCTTCATGAGAGTTACATTGTGATCTTGACCTATGTTTATTGCATGTACTCAGAGAGAGAAACTGGGAACTTTTATTATTCAAGAGAGAGAAAGAGAGTGTGAAGCAAGCTGTTTGGAGGTGTAGCCCCATCATTTCCTTCATTCCCCAAGTGTGGAGGAGCTGCAATGAAGTCATGAAATCTCAATGAGAGCAGCCGCTTCTGTCTTCACACTTCTGTTGATATTCCCACCATTTTTCTTGTGCACATACGCATATTAATCGATAATCAAATTCATTGTTGCTTATTGTCATTATCGATTTTATTGATTAGCTGTGGCAGCCCTTGTAGGGAGCTTCATGAGAGTTACATTGTGATCTTGACCTATGTTATAGCATGTACTCCGAGAGAGAAACTGGAAACTTTTATTAATCAAGAGAGAGAAAGAGAGTGTGAAGCAAGCTGTTTGGAGGTGTAGCCCCATCATTTCCTTCATTCCCCAAGTGTGGAGGAGCTGCAATGAAGTCATGAAATCTCAATGAGAGCAGCCGCTTCTGTCTTCACACTTCTGTTGATATTCCCACCCAGTTACCACCTTTAAAAACACTGGATGGAATTTATCCAGTTAAAATTTCATTTCCCATCATTGAAAGCTTTTCCTCTCAATGAGAGCAGCCGCTTCTGTCTTCACACTTCTGTTGATATTCCCACCCAGTTACCACCTTTAAAAACACTGGATGGAATTTATCCAGTTAAATTTTCATTTCCCATCATTGAAAGCTTTTCCAGGTCGATTGGCTATCTCGATTGGCAGCACTTCAGACGTTATGAAAGCAAGCACTGTTGTCATTTTACACGATGAGAGAGTGCAGACCACTCTCCCATACCCACTTAGCTGTGTGGAACACGGTCAGGCTGGATTGTAAGTCTAGTTTCCTGCCTTTTTTGTTATTTAAGCCTCTGTGGTTGCTGTGCTCCCTTCTTATAGGCTACAGTAATTAGTCGTAGAGGCCCATGCTTGGCCTAGTAAAACCTGAACTTTTATAACAGGACCTTTGTGTTTAGCATTGAGCTACAGCTGGCTTGTAATATCTGCGAGATGTCAAGATGTCAGACTCACTGTTGATAACAACCGCATTCCTCAGCATTCCCCAAATTTCTCAGCTTCCTTATTACTGCTGGTTAATGTTATGTTTGAAGAAATACAGCCACAAAATGGAAGCATGATGTTATGCATTTACTTAAAGGTTGTATATTCTTTCCTGTGTGCGTGGCTGGTGACCAGACCTCAGGCTGGGTGTGTGGTATGTGTTCTCATATCTGCTGTGTGGGCAGAGCCGTGGAGTTGCTGCGTTCCTCTCTGCCTTTAGCATTGAGCTACAGCTGGCTTGTAATATCTGCGAGATGTCAAGATGTCAGACTCACTGTTGATAACAACCGCATTCCCCAGCATTCCCCAAATTTCTCAGCTTCCTTATTACTGCTGGTTAATGTTATGTTTGAAGAAATACAGCCACAAAATGGAAGCATAATGTTATGCATTTACTTAAAGGTTGTATATTCTTTCCTGTGTGCGTGGCTGGTGACCAGACCTCAGGCTGGTGTGTGGTATGTGTTCTCATATCTGCTGTGTGGGCAGAGCCGTGGAGTTGCTGCGTTCCTCTCTGCCTTCCCACGTGATGACACGTTAGACTTGATTTCTCTTTATGGGTTTGTTTAGAACAAATATTTTCCAGTTCTGTATATTTGGCATGAAGTGAGTTTTTATTTTTTTATTTTGAAAATTTTTTTGAGCTTGTAATTTTTAATCGAAATACCACACCTTGATCTTTCGGTGAAACGACAAACTTCTTTCTCTTTGGTGACGTATGCCGGACTGATTCAATCATAAACCCCGCCCCTATCTTACAGTCGACTGCAAACTTGCATTCAGATCCAATCAACAAGTCCCCACCCTGCATTTTTTTTTCTTTTTCGATAATCCGTTTCACTTAGATGTACGTCACATATGGAAGAAATGAACTGTCGCTATTTCTGTTATTTTGGGACATTAAATGCACTGGAACATGTAGTTGTGGCTTGTCCCTATTAGAATTTAAAAAGTAAGAATGATGAGACCATTGTTGAATTATTGGAAATTATACAGGTTTGGTATTTTGATGAGAGGAGTCTTGCATAACACAAGATGAAGAACAATCATTTGACTCATTTCTTTTTTTTATTGGGTTTCACGGATTTGAACAGGATTTGAAAAATGAGTAAAATAGGATCACAACCTGTCAAATATTTTTGTGTAAGAACTCTGCCAGGATTTACATTTCTATTGAGTAAACCCTTCCCGTTAAGATAGTCTTTCTACTTTATTTTACACCTAAAGCCCAGAAATATACTTCAGTTTTGATTCACAGTCAGACATGTAGTCGTTCAACACATGCGCACTACATTGTTTTCTTCTTGTCCGGTGTCGTCTGTTTCTCTCCAGAAGTTATGGCCGATGAAAAGTCTTAGTACTCGTTTAAACTGGAGTTGTGTCTGTTGTTGTTGTGGTCTCCAGTGATTTGTTGTTGTTTTTCCAACAAAACCATTTCTTTTTCAGCTATGAAACAATGGCCCTGGCCAATGCTGCCAACGTGTGAACAAACTAATTAGTGCAAAAAAAACTACTTAAATCAAAGTGCATTTGTGAGCTGAGTGATGAATATGGGCAGTTAGATAAAATGATGATATTTACTAGAGCCCGACCGATATGGGTTTTTTGGGGCCGATACCGATATTAGAGTGTAAAAAAAAAAAGGCAGATGCCGATATTCTTTGTGTATATTATAGAATATTTATTTTACCATAGTAAAATTAAAATTCTGGCTTAAGTAATTTTTTTTCTCAGTTTTTATTATTCATTTAAAATTAGACAAATCTGCTATTTATTTTAATCTCCAATCTGTTGTTTATCAGTTCAGAGTTTTTTAATGCTTTGATTACTAGCAGAAGACACTAACCAGTTTTAAATTCCAGTTGCGCAGATGGGGCACGTTGTAACACTGCGTTAGAATGTGCTATTCTATGACATTAGCGATGTAATTTACACTATTTACTTTTATTAGTTCTGTAAAAAAAAATTTCATATAGGCGGCATATTTGCCGATACCGATATATCGGCGACAGGCTCATATCGGCCAATAATATCGGCAAAACGATATATCGGTTGGGCTCTAATATTTACATCAGTCACACTGTACGCATACCCTAACATACATGTAAAAAACAAATTATGCTTTGGGCATAACATGCTGAAATTATACAGGTATATTCAAAATCAACTAGTGTGTATAGGTTAGGTTGCCTGAACAACTAGTCAATCTTAAGAAGCTCTGTCATATTAGGCTGGTTTAAGGTCATGACTGATCAAATGCATTTCTTAGAGATATATGGCATTTTCATAAGGTGACGGATACTCAACACAAATAAACAACAAATAAATAGGATAAATAACCAAAAACTGACAAAATTATTTGTTGGATAGGCTTTGGGATTTCAGCATAGAGCGCTTACTCATAAATGGCGCAGTGCTTTATAGTTATTCAGTGTAGCATGTTAAATTGTTTATGATTGCAGTTGTGCATAGGGCTGGGTATCGAGTTCGATACTTTTTAGACACCGACTGAATTGCCTCGATACCATCGAGTATCGAAAAACGCCTCGTCGTTCAGTACCAAATTTCAATACCTAAGGGGTTAATCTCATCAGCGTCAGTGAGCCAATAAGCCTGCAGCACTAGCTGGTGTGTTCGACTAGAAGAGGTGCGGCGCAGATCGATCATCCGCGAGAGCGATTCGAAAGCGCACGGAGCAGTCTGCTCTCTTTAGCTCTCGTGGTACTGTAATAACACAAGGTAAAAAAAAAAACCAAAATTTTTTTTTTTTTTTTTTAGATAATGTAATCTTGTTAAAATTGATTTCATAAAACTGGTATCGAAAAAAGTATCATTCAGGAACCGGTATCGAAGTCAAGGTATCGATATCGAACATGTTTGAACGATACCCAGCCCTAGTTGTGCATAGCTCAGATGGGAAGCTGTTTTCTTTAGTGGTCGACCGATATATCGCCAATTTTTTAAAAATTTCATGTAATATATATTAAAATGACAAGCTTTTGCAAAATAAATAATCTAGGTCATGTATTAAGTTCATACATATTTTATTATGAACAACTATTATTAACAATATCTATGAAATTACACTTTTTCTTATTGATGTCACACTGAAGCTGTGTGATTTTCATAGTAGTGCACCCTTTAAGCT